TCCCAAAACCTGGTGCTAAAAAGTTCTTTCCATGTCCGGCTGGGTCGGATAAATGGCAAACATTTGTGTCGCATTAAACATGTGACAAAGAAAAGTGCAATGGCTGGATAAAACATGCTATAGGGCTGTTGCGTGTTAAATCGCACATTGATATTCAGTGCCATCAGCTGCTGGTCTGTTTTGTGGGCACACACACACATACGCACACGCGGACACACACACACACACACACACAGATTGTCCAGAGAGACAGCTGGTGTGAAAATATGGGCTAATATAGCTTCTTCGTCTCCATCGACAGGTGACGGAACGTCAATGTGAGGGCGTGCAGCTGTCGCTTGTTCTTGCGGCGCGCGCGTCTGCGAGTCTGTGTGTGCGATAACTGTGTTATGTGCTGTGCAGAACGCTGCGCGTGTAGGTGTGAATGAGGGTGGGATTTTTATCACAGGCTGTCATGTCGCCGCACTTTATTAGAGCTCGGCTGGAGAAGAGACAAGGCACCATCAGCAGTCGCCATCAGTGTGTATGTGTGTGAACAAGGAAGAGGGAGAGAATTGACTGGCTTCTAGCTTTGACCTGTCAGCGTGGGCCATAGTCAGAGAAACACACCAAAGGCAGCATCAGCAATCACCTTCACACTTCCTTACATGCTACAGCACAGCCGCTCTGTTATCAGTAGAGTAGAAGATATATGTAAAAATAATCATGCAAATGCATTACAGGGACCAGGCTACTGCTAATTAAAATGATCGTGTTTATGCTTTATGCCAGTTTATCTCCTTTTTTCTTTAATGCTAAAACACGTTATCAGATCTGTCATTGTTGCAGGAAGATTTAGTTTACATTGTTTTGATTATTGTCTTCATCACATGTGGAGTCATGAAAATATGTCTGAAGATCATTTATGAAGGATGCTTCCTTTCTAATGCGCCACTGGCTGGTATTTTACCTTTGACTATACGTTGTCTGGGAGAAAATGCCTTGTTGATGTTAGAGGTCAGAGAAGAATGGCCAAACTGCTTTTAGCTGGTAGGAAGGCAACAGTAACTCAAAGAACCAGTCGCGAAACACCCTCGCTGCAGGAAGGAGCGCTTTCACAGATCATCCCAACAGCAGTTAGACTCTAGAACTCCTCAATCACGATGTCATAAGTCACTGGACATTGTGGACATCCACAGTCACCACTTCTTGCATAATGCACCTTCTATGTGTATGCATATATACATATGTATATTTAGTGTGTACCTGTGTGTGTGTGCGTGTACATGTCTATACTTATAGATATCTATTACTTACATAGGAATAGTAGTGGTAGAATAGTTATGTTATAACTATATAGTTTATAGTTTATGTCTTGCATATTTCCACAACCATATCCATAATCACATACTGTGTATGCTATCGTTGTATATAGTGTATTATCTTACTTGTTTTATATTTGTTTGTATTTTATTTGAGTTTTTGTATTTTTCTTCTGCTATCTGCACCTGAGCTGAGGTAAAGCAAAACTTTCCCATCAATAAAGTCTTATCTTATCTTGTTACAACCAACGCAGAAGAGCGTCTCTGTCAAAACTTGCCGCAGATGGGCTACATGTTCGGGTTTTAGGCTCAGAATTTGGCATAAAGAACACAAAAGCATATCAGGCTGCTGGTGGTCGTGTAATGGGACATATCTTCTTGGAACACCTGTTAGTATTGTTGAACATCTTTTAAACAGCACAGAGTAACCGACTATTATTGTTGACCGTGCCCGTGTCTTTATGACCACAGTTTACCCGTCTTCTGATGGCTGCTTCCAGGCAGATTGTGCCATGTCACAAAGCTCAGATAACCTTAAACTGGTTTCTTGAGCATAGCGATGAGTTCACTGCAGTTAGATGGCTTCTACAGTCACCAGATCTCAATCCAATAGAGCACTTTTGGGATTTGGTGGAGCAGGAGATTCTAATCATTGAAGTGTATTCGACAAATCTGCAGCAACTGTCTGATGCTGTCATGTTAATATGGACCAAAATCACTGACGGGTGTTTCCAACACCTTGTTGACTCTGCCACAAAGGCAGCTGTGAAGTCAAAATGGGGTCCAACCTGGTGTAACCAACGTATTAACATCAGCATTTCCGTGTCAGGGTCAATTATGGCAACATTATAGCAAAAAAAGTCATGAATTACCTCTTATTTTTATTTTATAAAAAGTAATACATTACTCCTTGAAATATATAACATTACTTCTGCATTATTGGGCAAGATTACCTGAAATGCATGATCACATAATAACCAGCTGACGATGCAAGTCCTAAACTGGGATTATTCTTTCCTGTGCTGCTGGTGATGGACTTCACGTGGACTGTTAAAGAAGTACAGCAGTGATGTCTGCTCAAGCTCAGGCTGTCTGTGTCCGTGTCTGCAGCAGAGTGTAATCTAGGCCTTAGAATACCACACACTGGAAGAAATCCCTGTCCTAATGAGGCCAGAATAATAACAAGATCTTTCTTTTAGACAGACAGGTATGGGTAGAAATGGAGGGCACAATTCTACAAACTTGACTGCTCATCACAGCTTCTCCTACCCGTTGAAAATCAAGCTTTGGCTGCTCGACTGAGGTCAACATCACTCTGGGTCCAGAATTCTTCGTTACTGGCTTTGCAGATGCTCGGAAAGAGTTAACGTTGTGTTAGATGCTGCTGTTTCTGGCCCGAGAAGTCGTTTGTGCTTCGCCATTACATTTTCATCCTTTTTTGCAATAAAAATTAACGTTCATATCTCCATTGCTCAAAAGTTGAAGACGCTTCGTCCTCCTGTTGTGCAGAGAGTTTAAAAACTTAGCAGCGTAGCAGTTTGAGTAAGTTTAGTGTGATTATAGAATTACAGCCTATTACAGTGTTAAGGAAAAAAGTGTCATTACAGCCAACGCTGGTCTGAACACACAACCTGTCAAAATATGAGAAAGCACCAAGCATGCAAACACGAACGCATAGACTGATGCACAGTTTGTCTATTTCTGTTGCACACACATGCACGCGCAGAGCCAGCTGTGTGGTGGAAGCAGGTGTCACTCTCAGCTCATTACCCCTGGCTGGGTTGATCACCCTGTTTGGAGAGCAATAAGATACACCTCACTGGAGAAATAGAGGGATGAGCGGGGGAAAGCAGAGAGAGGAAGATGGGGAGGGTGGGAGATCCGGCCTCCTGCTCCGAGAGATAAAAAGAACCGGGGCAGGTAGCAGACAGAAGAGGGGAGGTGTGCACAGGTGGATGTGAATCTTGAGATTGGGGGAAAGAGAAGAAAAAGGAAAAAGATGTAGAAAAGCTGTGAGAAATGAATGACAGGAAGTGGAGGTCAACATAGGTGGAAGGAAAAAGCAGAAAGGAGGAGGCTCGGTGGAAAAAGGCAAAAGCAAAATCAGACACTCTGGGGACCTTAAATAATAAAATAATAATAAAATCAACTCGCGGTTTTGTTCTTGCTGTGATTTCGCACATACACCTTGTTTTCCAGGAACAAGCGATTATTAGCCAGCTGCTGACTTGTTAGACCCACTTTACAATACACAAAAAGCAACGCTTTAAATGTGAGAACTCCCCTTTCTCTTGAAATCTCTCAGATAATTATTGTATTTTACCTTGTTAAAAAAAGTTGTTTGAGCCCTCCTGATATAACTGTTTGGTTTTTATGTCATTAAATGTGTGGGAGTGTGTGGAAAACTACATGCATAACAGTAGCGCTGCAAAAGAGCAACATTGTGATGCATCATCTTCTTGCAATCATTCAAAATATTGTAGTATGAATCAAATTCTGCTTTTTGGCTCTTTAGGACAGTTTTGTTGATGTTCTTAGTTACACAGATTTCATACTCTCATAGATACTAAATAATTTCAATATGACAATCACTGTGTCATGATAACAGCATTATCATGGGCGATGATTCCAGATAGCATCGTATCCAGAGTCACATCACAATTTCCACCCTAATACATGTTGTGGCAAAGATTTCATCCCTTCATCAAACAATCAGAGCAGCAGTTGTCTAACTCAGCGGTCCCCAACCTTTTTTGCGCCACGGACCGGTTTATGCCCGACAATATTTTCATGGACCGGCCTTTAAGGTGTCGCGGATAAATACAACAAAATAAAACTAGTACTGGTACCGAAAAAAAAGAAAATTTATTCATAACACACGTGAAAAGACCAAGGAAAACAGAGTAAATGATAAAAACGATAACAAAATAACGCTGAAAACCGATAAAAACCCTGAAAACTATACATTTCACACCTGAGCCTCAACTCTCGTGGCCCGGTACCAAACGACTTACGGACCGGTACCGGTCCGAGGCCTGGGGGTTGGGGACCGCTGGTCTAACTGACTGATGAGAACTAGCTCATACAGCATGCAATTGTCTAATCTGTAAACCGGTGACACGTGACTAGAGACACCACTCTAACTACCACAGGTTGCTAGAGAAAGATGGGCAGTCCCAAACCAGATGGAGAGTGGTTGCTGGCAGTTGCTAGGTGAAACCTTTTCCAATTGCAATTGCGTCTACTTCGGTCAGTAACAGATGCAGTCGACAGTAGTGCGCATGCAAGACGGCGACTTGTCTGATGACACTCCCCAACAGCTCACTAAGTGGTGGCGGTGAACAAAGGGAACACAACCTGGAAACGGACGAGTAACAGTTGCACCTTCTGCAGCTTTTTGGTTGCACTGGCAAGGCAACGTGTTCTGTTTCTAACCATTCAGAACCCTTACAGAGAGCTAGTGAAACTGTGACTACAGGGAGATGTTTAGGTGCAGCTCTCTCTTTGAGACTGATGGTGACAACTGGTTGGGAATACACATTTTCCGTTAGCCTCCCGTGGTTGTCCATGGGTGGATGACTTGTCTCCAGGCCTGTGTGGCTGATGATCACTCACATGGTTTTCTAAGCCCGTTCCTTTAAGTGTCATTTTCACATCAGTGAACTCACAACACGTCTGTATGTGTGTGTGTCCCTGCAGGTACGACTACAAGGAGATGCTCCACAATTCCACTTTCTGTTTGGTGCCCCGCGGCAGACGGCTGGGCTCCTTCCGCTTCCTCGAGGCGCTGCAGGTAAACAAGCAACACACACATCCACAGCACTGCGAGAGAGCATTGCTCGTTGCTCTAAATTCAAGCTAACCAGCAATATCACTGCGAAGAAAAATAATCACTACCTACACTCAACCTTCCACTTAGCATTTGTTTTAATAGTGCTACCTCTAGCATTAAAGGATCACCAGATCATTACCACCTTAATTTTCAGACTAATAGTGTAATTAATATAAACAAACGAGACCTTGGCTGAGAGGATTAGCTGCTGCTTCCTGCCTCTAAACACTGATATTTATTTTGCAGATACACTGTTAAAAATAGAAAAAAATAAATAAAGAGGGTTTTTTTTATGCATTTGCATAGACATGCAGAGACTGTTTGCTAGCTTTTTGCTGCCCAGGTTAAGAGTATATTCAGCTGGATTGCGGGTGAAACTGCTGCACATAATAAACACAAGTCATCATAGTAATTTTCTAACACTGGCTCTGCATTCACCTCCACTTTGCCTCTTCCTGCCTCCTTTTATTTACGTGCGCCACTCGTTTTCTTTTTTCCTCCTCCCTGTTCATCCATTTCTGTAACTGCGCAGCGCTCTGCATTACTACTGCACTGTCCTTTACCTCTCCTTACCGTACGCCGCTGTCCACAGAGTGCACTCACATAAGTGTGCTTATCTCACTATCAGCTGACACGCACACACACATGCACGCACACGCGCAGAGAACACTTCACTCAGGAGGCAAATTCGCCCTCTCCTCTCCTTTCTCCATTTGTCACACTCACTCCAACCATCGAATTCAAACCGTGACGACAAAGAGAGAGTATTTGCCAGCTTTGGTCTTTGCATGAAAAAGCAATTCTTCATAGAGGTCAGCGCTTGTGTGTGTGTGTGCGCGTGTGTGTGAGAGAGACAGCAGCAGAGCCCGAGGGCCAGTTCTGGTTTAGCTGACACCTTTATGACCTGGGAGTGACAGGGCCGTCATTAACATCAAACCACAGAAACACACGGACACACCAGCTGTTCCCCTGTACCTCTCCTCTCACCCCTCCATCCTTCTGCCATTCCTTTGCCAAAGGTCATCTTCAGCTTTACTAACTCCCCACCTCTCATATCATTCATATCTGTTTATCCGCGTTCGTCTGCCTTTTCATCTTTTATGAATTCCCTTTATCCCTTCATTGTTCCTCGAGCTCACCTCCTTTTGAGTAATTAACACACCCGCTCCTAATGTCATCATTTTTAAACGTTGATGTGAAGACATGAAGTGAATAAAACAGCCAGAGCGGCCTGGTTCCTTTCTTTGATTTTCCAGACTGATTCAGACATTTTCAGAAATCAAATAAACTGAAACAGGGCGAGTAATTAAGAAATTCTTTTTGTGAACGTTTCACCTTTTGTAGTTCTTGTCGCAGCAGTGTAAGAAAATGTTTTTATGAATCTGGCTTTTTAAAATTTTTTCCACACATCTGAAATTGAGTCTGGACTCCTGTGCTTTCAGTTCATAATGAGATATAGTTGGTAAATGGTAAATGGCCTGTATTTGTATAGCGCTTTACTTAGTCCCTAAGGACCCCAAAGCGCTTAACACTACTTTCAGTCACATTCACACACTGGTGATGGCAAGCTACATTGTAGCCACAGCCGCCCTGGGGCGCACTGACAGAGGCGAGGCTGCCAGACACTGGCGCCACCGAGCCCTCTGACCACCACCAGTAGGCAACGGGTGAAGTGTCTTGCCCAAGGACACAACGACCAAGACTGTTGGAGCCGGGGCTCGAACCGGCAACCTTCCGATTCCGAGACGAACCGCCAACGCTTGAGCCACAATTGCCCCCCAATAGTTGTCTTGCTGTCTTTGCATATAGCCTGTCTATTAGCATGCAAATCTAGAAATGTTACGTCCCAACATGTCATATTAACCACTTTTGCAACTATGAGCCAGTCAACATGGGTTTAAGTCCAAATGTGTCACATTGTTCTGTCAGAGTGAATGCAAAAGGAAAAAAAGGCCGGCCGTGTCCTGTAGGATTTAAGCTGCTCTAATCAATATTTCTCAGTATATTAATAGGTCACAGAACAGGTGCTGCACCTGTTGTTAGTAAACCCACATGAGCACCGACTCGCCCAATGAAATGCTTTTGTAAGCCATTTCTTCTTAAGGGCGTTTGGTTGGAATAGCACTTAATGTCACGGACCCTTCACAAGCTGAATGAGGGCAGTGGTGTAGTGAGAGGGTGGAGGGACCCGTTTGAAACTTATTAAAGAATAGCTGGTGTGCACATGGCATCATTTAGAGGCTCAAGTCAAATAGATAGATTAGCTAGATTTAACATGTCAGATAATACAGTAAAAAGTAGTCCAAAAGCAGCTGTACGTGCAATATTTGCTGAAACAAAGTAGTCGCCACCTTTCAAGGTGCACAGAGATATTTAAATGACAACCACATCCTCAGGCCTGTGGTTTTCCCCAGAGGAATCCATCATGTGTCATATCTGCAAATTTATAATTGAAAAGATGTTTGCTAAATATTTGCAATTTCCACCAAAAGTTTATTAGTTAGAGGAAACTGTGGCTTCGTATTTCTCATATCTAGGAAAAATAAATAGGAGTGAATAAACTTCATGAAAGTTCAGGATCTTGTCTTAAGCTGGTACAGTTGACTGAGCAAAAAAAGGTATGTCTGCTTGGATCATGGTTTCTTTCCTTCCATTGGTGTTTTTTATCCACTGTATGTCCAAACCTAAGGGGGCTTGATGGCTGAATAGTTAGGAAGCTACAAGGCTCTTAACCTCCACCTGAACTTTTTATTCTTTCTCTCTCCACGTTTCCTTTTCTATTCTTCTACCGGTCACATTGTCAAATAACGGGAAAACCACTAAAAGTAAACTCTTTCAATTCAAAGAAACTCAAACACAGATAATAACAGAGTGATCTATTATTATGACGTCCGGTTATCACAGCTTTATATAAACAGAGCTGCGTATTGTCGCTGTAATGACGAGGATCAATATCCAGTAAATCAGCCGAGATTAGGGCAGGTAGCAATGATTGTAGTCGTAAAAGCATCACTTCCAGGCCTCACTCTCTGTATGTGTGTGTCTCAGGCTGCATGTGTACCAGTGATGCTGAGTAACGGCTGGGAGCTGCCTTTCTCCGAGATCATCGACTGGAACACGGCCGCAGTCATCGGCGACGAGAGGCTCCTGCTGCAGGTAACGGCCCGTAGACGCGCTCGCACAACAATCACATGCTCTGTATATCACCTGAAAGTGACACGGCGAAGAGAAACCGCAGCATTCCCACAACTGAAATCAGACTCTCTCTCTGACTCTCGATACCCTCGGCACACGCTCGGCCTTCACCATCTTCACCATGTTTGGTTTTCTAGCGACATGGCTGTTAACTAAACAAAATTCAAGCGGCATACCAAGTCCCAGACTGCTTACAAAATGCCCCCACAAAGCCCCACATTGTTTTGTGAGAGGGCAAATAAATAAAACCACCAAATGGATTTCGTTGGAACGGCTTGAACTTCATGGGGGGAAAAGTAATTATATGCCCATTAAACCTTAATTTGAATGAAGTGTGTAATAATATTGTTTGACATTGAGTTTTATAATGCAGGAGCTCCATCTCGGCTTTCTCTGTGCAGCTTTAAACAGGTCTGAGACGTCCTGGATCGTTCTCCAGATTTATGTATTTTGCTGCGGTACAATGGGGCAAGGTGCACACAACACCCACTTAATATGTGTGTTTTTCACTAAATGTGAGATGCCTGTACTCTTTATTAGAGGTATTTATCGGAACCACAGAAATATCTGGAAGATATTGCTCGTACAGTGGATCTACCTCTCCAATAAACATGCTAACAGATAGAGGAATGTACTGTTTACTAGAGTGGATAAATACCGTTTATTGGCCATTATCTCCCCTTTACTGTGACAAATGGTCACAACAGAAACTACACAGCTATTGAAACAAAAGTGTAAAACTGTCCATTAAATTCCAGCTGAAGCATTTAAAGCTTCTCTCTCGTAATAGTGTTTGACTGATAGAAGCCGTTAACTTTATTCCTTCTTTCATGTGCTTTGTTTCCTTCAGGAACATCACATATTTGTCTCTTGTAAATGCTGCCGGTTTAAAACAAAACATTTTTTAAACCTGCCTTGAGTTTGTGATGTCTTCCTCCCCTCATTCCCAGCCAGTCACGGCAGATGGTCGCTCCTCCCTGAGCCTGGTTCTGCTGGAGGTTTCTTCCTGTTTAAAAGGGAGTTTTTCCTTCCCACTGTCACCAAGTGCTTACTCAAAAGGGGTTGTTTGAATATTGTAGGGGCTCTATCTCAGAGTGGAAAGAATCTTGATTTGATGCTTTATGAATAAAACTGAATTGAACTGAGTTACAGAAATAGGACTTCATTCTTGATTGGGACTAAATTCTGCCAGGTTAAAAAGAGACAGACGGAAAACACAAATCTTCTGATGTTGCTGCTATTTTTTACTAAAACTTGCTCTGAAGTCTTGAAGTTTTTGAAAAGATCTAAATCCTGGACCTAATCACTAAAAGTTCAGCAGCTCACTGCCATTGTTGCCAACTTAGCGACTTTGTCGCTATATTTAGCGAATTTTCAGACCCCCTAGCAACTTTTTTTCTAAGAAAAGTCGGCTAAAAAAGACGTGAAAGCGCATATCGCTTTTACTCTCAACAAGCAGCGGGTGCTGTATCGCAGTCAGTTCTTCTTTTACTCTTATGCTGTTTTGTGGATCAGGTTTAAAACTACTTATAAACACACACACACACAAAGTAACTCCACCAGAGTGCCTATTTCGGGTCACTTTTGCCGGTCCAAGCCCGGGTAAAGGAGCAGGGTTGGAATTGTGACATTACAAAAAACAATAATTGCTAAAAGAAATTTAATTTGTAGTTCTAAATAAATTCTAAATGCATTTAGGACGTTTTTTGCTCACTTTATGTCTCGTCCACGATGTTATTTCTCTCTCCAACAACGTAGGTTACAATTATATTAGCATGACCAATTATGCAAATTAGGTGATGACATCATTTAGCGACTTCTAGCGACTTTTAGGACAGCCAATAGCGATTTTCCTTACTGAGGAGTTGGCAACACTGCTCACTGCTCTCTGTGAAGACAAAGAAAAAGTACACAAAAGAAGAAAACGAACAAAAGGTAGACCTGGGTCACAGGTATCATAACTTACCTCAGGTGACCTCAGTAGGTCACATGACAGGGTGGGGCAAGATCTCACAGTGGTTTCACTCGTGGTGATGGTAATGATCCAGGCCCCCTTCTTACACCTTGGCTTACATGACAGCTCGCATGAATAATCCGTCGTAGTAGCAGTAGTACTCAGCAGTGGGTCCCAGCAAAGGGGGAAACCCCCACAAGGGTTAAGATTACATATCTGGAACTCCACTTTTGTTTTTAGAATGAAGGAGACATAATTCCAGCTGCACTTTTTTTTTGCACAAGCTCTAAAAGTTAGCATGACCTGGATGACTAAGAACCTACATGTACATGTACATCTACATGCATATGTCTATGACAAGACAGTATTAGCAGGTGCACTCCACCAGTGCATACCCACAGCAAAACGTTTTAATGCCCAGATCAATCGTTCTTCAGCAGCGATGTGCAATACTGATCGAATGCCGTTTGTTCTTTGCAGATTCCCACAACGGTGCGCTCCATCCACCAGGACAAGATCCTGTCCCTCAGACAGCAGACTCAGTTCCTCTGGGAAGCCTACTTCTCCTCTGTGGAAAAGATTGTTCTGACCACCCTGGAGGTGAGGAGTCAAGACGCACATGCACAGTTGTACAAACTCTCCTTCGTCCATTGTCAGCCTTTCTCTCCGAGGGCTGCAGTGTCACTGCAGACTCCATGATCGCTGCGCACTCTGTTTGGTCTGTTTGGTGTGAGGCTAAAAGTAAAAACAGAATTTTTCTCTGTTTTTTGACAGAGAGCAAAGAAAAAATGGAAATTGCGGAACGTGTTCATGTAGAATTTCTCACCGGCCGCTTTTTGTTTTTATTAAATGCTATTTTATGATATATCAATAGTAGTTGCAGCAATTGGCGGGGTAGTACTATTTATAATGCCACCAGTAGAGACAGTTACAGTGGCTTGCAAAAGTATTTGGCCCCCTTGAACTTTTCCACATTTTGTCACATTACAGCCACAAACATGAATCAATTTTATTGGAATTCCACGTGAAAGACCAATACAAAGTGGTGTACACGTGAGAAGTGGAACCAAAATCATACATGATTCCAAACATTTTTTACAAATAAATAACTGCAAATTGGCATGTGCCTAATTATTCAGCCCCCTGAGTCAATACTTTGAACCACCTTTGCTGCAATTACAGCTGCCAGTCTTTTAGGTTATGTCTCTACCAGCTTTGCACATCTAGAGACTGAAATCCTTGCCCATTCTTCTTTGCAAAACAGCTCCAGCTCAGTCAGATTAGATGGACAGCGTTTGTGAACAGCAGTTTTCAGATCCTGCCACAGATTCTGTGGGTGAAGTTTCTGAGGTCCTTTTAGGTCCATGGAAAGTTCTCACACATCCCTTTTAGCGTGTTTCACATCAGTGTAGTCTGCATCTGTGTTCAACTCTGAACATGACAAAAAGGCCCGAGGGTGTTTGAAACAATCTAGTTTATACAACATGTCATCCAAACACGTCTAAAAGCAAAAGTGTTTATGGTTGTTTCAAATGACCCCGCTCAAAGGCAAGGCAGTATGCCTGCTGGCCAACGCTGGAGCATGATGCGATGACAGAGGGATTTGGAATAACAGTGTGCTCGTCTGAACTCACTTAAAGTGACTGTAAGACTGTAGCTGTAAATAATTTAAAAATAAGAGAAGTATTCAAAAGAAACCCTGCATACTTCCGCGTCTCGGCCAGACACAACTAAATAATTCTCAAGACTGCTTGGTTCAAAAGGTCATAAAATGATGGGACTATGTTGGAAGCTAGAAATAAACAACTTAGGTCTGTAGGTCGTCACGATATTTTGTAGTTGGGAGGCAGAAGTGTGCATGTTTATATGAGACGGTGGAAATACTGAGTTATTCTTGTTGGCAAGGTGCATCCTTAAACAAGATTTCACACACACAGATAACTGTTAATTAGTGCTTGTACAGTATATAAATGTCATACTAGAGTTTTACTTACCAGTAAAACCACAGCGCAGACTTCTCGGGCGGTCAGTTAATACAAGCGTACAGGAAGCCATGTTATTTATCAGATAATTAAATATCTTGAGGCACCGACATTACAAACGGCATTGACAGGTCCTCCTAACATGTCATAACTATACTAGCCTGTGCTGATAACAGAGATGACATAGAACAAGGATGTAGCTTCAAGTTTCAGCTCTGGAAGCTGCTAAAATGAAGCCAGTGCACCTGCATTATTTCCAGTGACCAGCAGGGGGCTACTGTTGTGGTCCTGATGAGATTGTTTTCTAATTTGCTCATTTCTGGTCTTATTAAATAAAATATGAGGTTTGATTTCTACATTCTGATCACCATTAGAGTGCAAAAGGAGCCTACATTAAGATGTCAGAGCGTCGTCCCTCGGTTTCTCTAGCAGATCCCTCAGTCTCTTCATGTGTGGTTTTAAAACACCAAGATAATGACGTCGACCACAATGCTCAGTTTGTGGATTCAAAACAGGCCTCAGTAAATCAGTGGGTGGCATCACAGTGGCTACAACCGTCTTTTATATGCAGCCACAGCTTTAATTATTCATATCTTTCAGGCTTTAATAAAATTTGAATTGGTGAGATATAAAAATTCACCCATCGCAGTGGTTAAAAACTGGGGAATAGGCTTATTTCTGTAGTAAATTTAGGGCATTTTAACATGGGAGTCTATGGGGAGCAGTCGCTTTTCTAAGAACTGCTGTTATTCAGTTAGATTTTGCTCCTGCTCTTTCTTTTCTTAAAATAACTTAACAAGCAATGCACATAGCTACGTGCAGGCTTGATTAGCAGCATGCGCATGGATTAGTAAGATGGAAGCAGTATAGGTAGTCATGCTATGGTAGACGTATTAGTCATTTAAGAGGTTTTAAAGGATTGGTTAATAACTTGAAATCCATGCAATCCAAACCAAATGTCAACCACAGTGGGCACAAAACTGAAAACTACTCAAAAGTGCCAGAGCCTCCTCCCAACCCCATATTATTATGCACATTGACTTTGTTAACAATAACCCAGTTTAAGGAATCTGTGAGTGGAAGAACAATTTATCCACTCAATCCTCCTCCATCCCTTATTATTCATTTTAAACAAATTGTTTATGGATGCAGGGATAACACCGGGGCTTACTGCTAGTTTCATGCTGCGGTTGCAAATGTCTCCTCCTTCCTGCGTGCTCCCTCATTCAAGCACCCCATCACGCTTTTAATTTCCTTTCTTACTGCATTGCTGAAGCCCCCGAGCAAGATTCCCCTCTCAATGCTACAATCTCACTGACACTATAACCTCCCAGATCTTACACACACACACACACACATACGCACACACACACACACACAGTGCACGTATCTGTCGTGACTTCAGTGTCTAGAGTTGTCTGATTTCAGCTAGCTCTACATCTCTAGTCTGTTTTCTATCTAGCCATGTCTCACTGTGAGCTATTACACACACACACACGCAGTCAGAAACACATCTCCATATGTCAAGATGTGTCAGGCCAGATACACACGGCACCACCCAGGCATAACCTTGCTGACATGTTGTCACTCCACGCTGAAGTGCAAGGTGACACGGCCTGTGACTCAGTGTGTGTCTGTGAGGGTGAGTTTGCCTGCATGTTTGTGTGTGTGTGTGCGTATGTGTTGAATGGGGCAGTGGCTAAACGTTTAATCCTGACTGACTGTCCTGTTAAAAGAGCAGAGTGGGGAGAGAAGGGGTGAAGAGGAGTGGGGGTGACATATGTAAATGGAGTTGCAGTGGCAGGCCCCCAGATAACGAGCGACATGGTTTATTCATCCTGTTGGGCCTGCGCGCGCACACACACACACACACAAACACACACACACACACCCAACTCTACTGCAGATCTGTAAGGATACGCACATGCTCAAAACACACACATACACTCTGATATCTTGACAGATTGAATCTGCTTGCGCGCATTTAAAAAACACACTTGCCTTTTTTATTGACTTCCTGTGTGTGTGTGTGTGTGTGTGTGTGTGTGTGTGTGTAGCAAGCAAGCAGGAAACACGAGTTCAACCTATCATGCGCTCTTTCCTGTCAGGAAGCAGCCACATTTCGACCAATCACAAGGTCAATATCGCCGGCTTCCGTGCTGCTGGTACACCTATTAAACTCACCTATTAAAAGCGAGTTCACAGAGTGCTCCCACGGAGGCAGGATTTATCTATCATGCTCTAATTGGTTGATTGTGGCTGTTCTGAGGTGAGATTGAGTCGTCCATCATGTCCCGACTGAGGGCTGCCGACGGGGGAGGAGCAGCAGCCAAGCGAGCAAAATTGCCCCTCATAAGGTGTAAAGGGCTTGAGGGTGTTAAGGTGGCAGGCAGTGTTTTTATAGAGAAGTTAACGGATTCCGAGTTAATCTGTTTTTCTGAGGCAAATGGTTATCGACTGCCCTCGGGGACAAAGCTCAGAAAAGTAAAAGAGACTCACACGGGGCTGATTTTTTTTCTCTCCCCCTTTCTTTCTTCACATCTCCACCTCACTATGATGAATTTTTATGCCGCTTTGTCAATATTATTACAGTAAGGCCCTCGAGCTATGTTATTAGCTTTTCTTTCTTTTTTTTTTTTACAATTTGAACAGCTATCAGCAGCTCAGCCATCGCCCCACCTGACTCTCTCTACTTCTTTCCATGTTATGTATCCATCCTTTGAGTTGCCAAGCTAAGCAGCCAGCACCTTCCCGCTCAATAGCGGCCATAAAACACGGCCGCAAACCCGTGTCTGTTTTACTGAAGCAATTTAGCATGGCTCAAGGGCACAGCAGCAATATCTCTTTCTCCTGTCTGCCTGTTCAGCAGAGGCCCGGTGCGAGCTGCAGCTGGGGGGAAATAGTGCCCATTCTCACGTCCGACCCGTTTGACTGACTGCTCTATTTGGGCGCAGAAAGGATTGGGGCAGGCCTGAGTGACTGGTGCTTAGATGCAGCTGATGACTTTGTCCGTGTCCACCGTTTGGCTCTTATACCCACCCTCCCCATCACTGGCTTCTGTCTGTGTGACTGACCGGCACAGATGCTTTTTGGCTTGAGGGGAAAAAAAAGAAGGGGAAGGGAAAAAAAACCAGTTTGGGTTGTCAGCGGAGAAAATATTGCACAATAACATAGATTTCTTTCAGCCTCGCTTTGTGCCAGTGCAATTCACTCTTGACACAATCAATGGCTGCTATTGAGGTGATACAAAGCAAACATTTGCAAAGCTCAGCTAGCTTTTTGCTTTCATCTAACGCCCGCAGACTTACTTTTATACCAGTTTTTTTTTTGCTTTCACCTCCTCTAATACACCGACTGAGTTTTGAATAATAGAGCTAAAAGGAGGGGGGGTTATTGTAAGTTCTTGCATTAGCTGTGTTGATTCTCATTCACATTTACGACTGTCTTCTTCTTGGCACTTTTTGTGAGAAAACTCATTTCTCAGTGTGAGATATTTTATAGACGTGATTACAAGGCTCATTGATCAAATCCTTCATTCAGCATAATCTGAAAGGCTTACAAATGTTCGCTCATCTACACAAATATTTCTGATTGTTATGAGTCCTTTGTGATCTAAGAAGTGTTATTTAAAGGTAATCTTTGTTGGGTTCATGCTGCTTTTTTTGTGTGTTTTTTTTGAGTTTGAATTAATGAAGAAGCGGCACAAACGACAGAGTGGCCCGAGGTATACATAGACCCTGCTGTAATTAAAGCAGTACAGTTTTAATCCTGTAAAACAGACTCTGGATTCATATGCACTGAAACTTTGAAGAGCTCTGTGCCCCACGCAGCCAGATTGGATATTAAATAATCGAAGCTGCCAGGGGCCTAGCAGAAAGTCAGAGTAATGTCCAACTGCACTCATGTGAGAATAGCGAAGGTAATTAATCGTCCCGGTGGATTCGCAGCCAGCGAGGCGATGCCGCTTGTCCCGAGTCCTGCGCGCTCCACAAAGGCCGAGCATTTCCAGTGAGAACATGTCTGAAGTGCATTTGCAAGAGGACATGCCTTGACTTAACTCTCCCAACTCTGTCCAGAGTGAAAGCTGCCGTTCAAAGTCCTCACAGATAAACGTACCATTTTAAGTTCATTACTTTGCAGGTATTTTTGGTATTTTTAACCCTTTAAGTTTCGTACAACTTTTAAACTAAGCGCTAGAACCCAGATGATCTATCGGCTATTTTCCAATAAACTGGGATCAGCTTTTATAATAGCTGATAAATTACAATAAAAAAAGTAAAGACTATACAGAAGAAACACCCTGAGTGCTGACATTGCATAGTATTTTCACCAGAGGCAGCCTGCAACCTGCTTTCTGGCAACACATATATGGGACAAAGTTGTTAGGCTTTTAAAAATATATTTTCTAATTAGTTTTTAATTTTCATTTAATTTCTAGCTTTTAATTCGGTTTAGTTTTTGTTAGTTTCCAGATTGGGTTTTCTAGTTTTAGTTTAGTTTGTATTAGTTTCGGGGTTTAATTGTTTTTGATAGATGGATGGATAGATAGATAGATATTACAATAGAACTGCAGTACTTTTTGAGGGCAGTTCACTCATTGTCATGTAAACATCTAACAATTCAGAAAACACATCAAAATGTCATCAAGACGACCTGTGATAACAATTTTTTGCCAAACTGGCGGAGACATATTTGTAGCATTATTCCTCTACATCTTTACTTTGGTTACTTGAGTCACAAAATCCTTTCAGTTAGCTTAAATTTCATTTTTGTTTTATTTAATTAAAATTGGGTTTTTTTTCTTTCACATCTAGTTTTAGTTTAGCTGACTTTTACTTTAACTTTGGTAACCTTGTTTGAAATGCCACAAACAACAACTTGTTGTGATAATAAAACCAGATTGTTTTTAAGCCACATTGTCATATTATCTTAGTAAGAACTTAGAAATAGCTACACATTTAAAATGTAATCTATTTTTTATTTGTTGTGTCTGAAAAGAAAAATAATTGGATATATATCAGATTGTTAATTCACCAAATATTTGTACCGGTATTGATATCTGCCTTAAAAGCCTAATATTGGCAGGGCTCTACAAAGTCCCCGCAGCAGCACAAAATAACATTAATTGTGGAAATAAAGATAAATCTCATATCTCTCATATGAGGCTTGTCTTAATTTATACAGGCTTTATTTTTGTTTTTTACGTTGTAATCTAACCTGTGTGTGGTTTTGTTCCTGTGTGCAGATCATTCAGGACCGTGTACTAGAGCACGCCTCCAGGAGTAGCCTGATGTGGAACAGTCACCCTGGGGGCCTGTTCGCTCTGCCGCAGTACTCTGGATACCTGGGAGACTTCCCCTTCTACTACGACACACTGGGTCAGTAGCCTTCACACACACACACACACACACTCACTGTAAAGTGCTGTTACGCTTCTCCCACCCTGCATAGCCATTAAATTGTCAGACTTTTTGAATAAAGACAGTAGATTTGTGTCCAGCTGCAGCTGTGGTTGTGGACTTTGCGCAAACACTAGAAAAACAGCCTTGGTCTACTGCCCTCCTCGAACAGCTGTGAATAGCAGCAAGTGGAGTGGACGAACAGGCCTTTGACGGATGTTTGTATTAGCGCTGCTGACACATCGCCGCGTCCATCATTGGTTTTTGAGTCAGCATTGCTACAGCTTCTGCCGCTGCCCGCTACGGTTCAGCAGTGTTGATTTTCCCCCCCACCACAATCCGCGACCCGTGAGCCGCTCCATCCCTCGCTTCTCCACTCCATCATCATCCGCTGCAAACGTCCCCACGCGCACAAACTCATAGACGCCCAGGCGGCAACAGTACGAATGCAAAAATGTGTCGATGTAGCACCCGAGGTGGAGCGGATATTAAAATGGATGGGCGCGGTGACAGGCATGGATTACAACACTGGCAAGTTTATTTGTTTGTCAAAGAGGAAGCAATTAAACACGGATGGGTTTTTAGGAGACAAGGTGGCTTGTCGCTGACGGGTAAATGAGTGAAATCAAAGAATGTGAGTTTTCTTCTAAGAGATATTTCTTCTTGTTGTCCAAGAGCCAATAACAAGACACACACAGACTCTTTTTCATGCAGCATATTAACACTCAGACTCACACAGCAGGAGAAGAGTTTGTTTTGATTGCTTTAGCAGAATAGTCTTTTTAATATGAAGCAGAAACAAGTTTGGTTTTTTAGGATGATCATAACATGCATATTTAAGAATAGTAATAATAATACCCCGAGCAAAAATACTCATCCATCTCTAAAAATTTAAATATCATAAAAAGTTTCCTTTTTCATAATTTAACTAAAAAAAATTAATTAAAAAAAGTAAACTTTCATATGCTCTGTATTCATATTCAGCACATGTAAAGTGGGTGTTTTTCATGTTTATTCCAATGACTTTCTTTAAAGAAATCCAGTATCTAATATTATTAGAATGTTTAATTTTGGGTTTAACTACTGTTAAAGAAACTAAATACTGTTGATCTCTGAGTACATGTAACAACAATCATGGGGAAAAGTTCATTTAAGAATTTGGGAGCTCTCCACGAGGACTGGGTGGATGCTGATGCTGGTGTTGAGTATCGATTAATTTGTGTTAAGACAGAGAGACAATGTCAGATGATCTTACCTGGTCCTCTGTGTTTTATCAGGTCCAAAGTCAATGCAGCCATCTACTGGGATAGTTTAGAGCACTTCAAGCCTCCATCTGCTGACAGGCTTTATGGAGATTTCTTTTTCCAGCAGGAGTCCTGCCCACAGCACCAAAACGATTTACATGTACTTTTTACTCACCATGTTACTGCTTTACTGAATTGACACGGCAGAAAGAAAAGTATATTTACTATATTTATTTATTTTTCATTAACTCACCTATTATAATTTTATTAAGGCTGAGTTCTTCATGGTATCGCCGTTGTGTCCGTTTGCGTATGTATTTGCCTGGGAGAGAGGGATTTTCAGCCAACCGAAACTCCAAAATCCAAACAGGATGTTCCTTGACACGGATGACACTATGCGTCAGTCTAATGTTGATTTGTATACAAGTGTACTCAAACAGGGGAGGGAGGGGCAGCAGAATTCACCCAGAATGCAAGAAGTGTAACTGTAACAGTAAAAATAACAAAGTGAATATAAAACATTACCTCAGATACTTTGTTAGAATTGACACGATTGCGCGAAACCTCAGTCGAGAAAAAAATAGTCACAGTCAATAGTTTTTATCTCTCCAGCTCGCTGCTTTGTCTCTCACTTTGGGTCCGGTAAAACTTCTGTATTGAGACGCACCAAAACACATGAGTAATGTTTGAGCATCTCATTCATAAAAATATCAGCAGTAATATTAAAATGGGCTTCTCTCTTCTGGGAAGGCTTTGGAAAGTGGCTGCAAGGATTTCCTCTCATCAGTATTATTAATGTCAGCCACAGATGTTGGTCTGGCTTTCAACCCTCATGTTTTGGATGGGGTTGAGGTCAGGGCCAAGACTCAGAAGCCAAACCAAAGTGGGACTGATGGGGCTTGACTTTCCACTCTGGGTAACAGGATAAACCTTGAAGTGTCACAAGATGATTGTTGGAGTAATGATAAAATTATGCAACAAAACATTAGTTTTTTTTATTTGGACTTTTGCTGTTTTGTTGTGAAATTTTGGCCAGTTTTGCTTTTTATGTCTTCAAATGTTTTATTTTAGTGGTTCTGAACACTAGTAGTGGGACAAAGATGACCACTGTTTGGAGTGAAACTTATGGTCTCAGTCACACAGGCAAGAGACCGAGTGGTGACTGCCTGGCAACCTCCAGTCACTAGTGAAAATGTGTCATCCCTGACCAGCTGGTGTGTGTCTGCCGAGAGCATACTGAATCAATAACTTCCTGATTTCTTTGGTCGCTTGCAGATTGCCCCCATTGCCTGCATGAAAGACGAGTTCAAACCTTTGCTAACTAATCAATGTGCGGCACACACTGGAAACTGAGAACATTGCATATTACAGCTGCAACAAACACATTTCAGTAGCAACTTTTAATTTGAAGGGGAGCGATCTCCATTTACGGTTTGTTCAGTTTCACAAACACGAGAAGTTGGTGAGGTTTTACAAACAACGAGCTACCACGGCAACTTGCTAGTGACCAAAGCTATCGCGATGAGGTTTTCACCTAGCAACAGCCAGCAACCACTTGCCAACCAGTCAGGGAATACACATTTTTTTTGCCAAGTGTCCATAGTTGGGGTTCACAGACCAATCTTTAGGCCTGCTTGACTTGGGAGTAGCACTTGGGAGTAGCACTTGGTTTCACAGCGACTGCCACAACAGCCATCAGCAACCACTCGCAGCTGACCAGAGAATACTGATGGTTGCCAGGTGGTCTCCAACTGGTCTCTGAGTCCCACATGCGATTTATGTAGGAGAAAAACACAAACAAGAGTTTGTAGGAGCAGTCGTGTTGCATTTCTTTTTCTATAACATTCAAGTACATGTATATTTGTTTTTTGCAAATAAAAGCCAAACAAATTATGAATTACAGGCCTCGTGCTGTTGTATTAAAAAAATCCATAATTGGTAATTAGTTTAAAGTCTCGACTCTATCTAGAGTCCATACAGTATTTCTTAGACAAGGAGGGTCATTGTAAGTAGGAAACTGCCTCAAATTGCTGAATCAGACTTTAATCTGCCTGGCATACTGCTTTAAAGTTTTAGCCAAAGAAATGTGTAATGTGCTGATGCCGGATGAGATAAAAGCCACTGAGCATCATGTGCTAAGAGGCAGAAAACAGCATGCACATTCAAAATACAGAATATGCTGCGTGATAATAATCCTGCTCCTTGTTTTCTTCAATGTTTCATGAAAGTCTGTTTATGAGCTTGTTACGGTTTTACATCCCTAGGTGTTAAAAAAGTCGGCAGTCTCTCTACTTTTTATTACAACTCTAAAGGATAGTTTACCAAGTTTGAACTATATTCCTCTTCATAAAAGTTGCTCAGTGGCGGAAAGGAGACTCATCTAATGCTGTCTCCTCCCCGCCATGCTTTGCTGCCTTGGATTAGATTAGATTTAAATTAGGAAAACTTGGACGTCCTCTATGATCCGTCTTGCTCAATATCTTATTTCCTCCTCATTTTCAGCCTCAATTACTCTATCAAGTCAGACTGAATTTAAAGTCACATCAGCAGTTAGCAGTCGTGTGTTTATTGGGTTGCTGATACAGCTGAGGAGTTTTTAAAATGAAATATTCAGTGATCAAAAGATCTGGCATTTTCAAAACACATTAACAATTTTGAATATTTTAAGAAGGGTTTGAAAAACTTCCATCGCTGACAATTATATAATCTGTGCCACTGAAATGCTGACATACTGGTTTTAAGGAACAGCTTTCACTGAATATAGATATGAGGTGTTTGGAAACAGCTCCGGTTCTCACTCGGCTTTGCTCTTTTCAAAAGCCTGAAATTGCATTGATGGTTTGACAGTCTGCTCTTTTTGCTGTTTTTGTTCAGAAATACATTAATGAGTGTTTTCTGTCTGTTGCGTTTCAGGTATTAGACCGTACCCGAAGTTCACAGCTGTCATCCATGCCGTCTCCCCTCTGGTGTCCCAATCCCAGCCCATACTCAAGCTCCTGGCGGCCGTGGCCAAGTCCCAGTACTGTGCACAGGTACACAATTTGTGTGTTTGTGTGATTGTTCACTCATTATCTCAAGAATCCTCCACTCATCTCCACCGCACATCTGCTAAATTGTGCCGCATTATGCGGCTCGCTCGTACGGCTATTTTGCAATCGTATTTTCCAACCAGGGCAGCAGCAGAGCTCATCCTCCGTCACCGTGTGCTTGTGTGTTAACTCCGGTGGATTGAATTAGAGCAGCAGTTTGTAGCGGTGCTACATCTGTCTCCATGGCAGCCAAACCCCCTTTAGCACAGCTGGAGATGGCATGTATCGATTCCCCTGCTTGCTCCTTACTAAAGCGGGAAATGAAATGGAATTTGCTCCCTGATGGCTGGCTTTTGTGTTTGCCTGAGTGTGTGGGTGTATATATGTGTGTGTGTGTGTTTTTTGTTTGTTTCTGCGACCAGCAGAATGTATGACCAAGTGAGTTTGTATTTTGTGTAGGAGGAATGCATTTTGGATAGTAGTACATGGATGTGTGTTGGTACAGGATTGCAGGGCATGTTAATTGTATCTTTTTGTTTGCTTGCCATCTTTAAGGCACTTCTTGTTTGTAATTATAAAGCCCACTTGCATGCATGCTGTAGTTAAGGCATGATGTAGCCTGGATCACGATTATTTTCTCCTGGAAATATCGCTCATCGTGAATCACTCTCTTTCATCTAAACATGTTGATTCTACATCTGACCTTATTCACTGATGCCTTATGGCCATTTTTGCCTGTATCTGTTACTGTGATCACTGCTCCACTGATGGACACAACAGCTTGTCTAAAATAAATAACAGTTTATTGAAATCAGGATTTCTTAGCTTGTCCATCCATCTTCTTATATTTATCCAATTCAGGGTCATGGTGAGACTGGAGTCTATCCCAGCTGTCATAGGGTGAGAGGTGTGATATACCCTGGACAGGTTGCCAGTCTGCTGCAGGGTTAGAGAGGCCATTAAGCTTGCTGTTCTCTCCCTGGCAAACGGCACCGTAAAACAAAAGATTTGTCAGATCCATCAGCACAAGCTGGCCAGTCGTGCATCTCTTGATTTTTGAAACCTCAGTTGTTGTGCCGCCGCAGCCAGGTTGAAGACGTGAGTGTTTACAGCCGTGTCGGTTTTTACAGCTGTTTTAATGATACATGGGTACAGAAGCTCTGAGTTTGAAACTCTGAGCTTTTGTACCCATGTATCATTAAAACAGAGGGAGATGTCGCACCAGTTTCAAAAGATGAGACTTTTTGGAACAAAGTTTTGAAAGACTTTCAAAATAACTAATTTCTTTTCTTTTGTTTCTCTGCTCTAAATTCCGTTTAGCCCACTAAATTTTACAAATATTTTTCTTTAATATTTTTGTAAATGAAAAATACACCTCAAACATACACTGTGTAAAACGTTGATTGTCATGTGTATTTATTTATTGCGTGCACCACAGTTAAATTACAGAAGCTGAGCCCAAGTGCTTTAGAGGCGGGCACGTTTACATTCAAGGTGGCCAAAAAACACAGAATACGTGAAAAACTCAAAGGTGTCTTTTGTTGTGTTAACTAATTATCATGAAAAGTAAAAATCTCAGTGATGTAGTGCAAAGTGTCCAATTTGCAAACTGGACACTGCTGTCCCCTACATAAGCTGCCTTTATAGGTGAGAAGTATCAGTATTGGCAATATTGGCCCAATATGTGCAGCTGAGCTGACAACCATTCACTTTCACATTCACACCTGTGGCTAAGTTAGCTGGAGAACTTGGGGAGAACATGCAGAAAGGCTCTGAAAACACCAGTAGGGCTGTGCGATATGACCAAAATCTCATATCCCGATATAAGAATTCTATCGTCCTGATAACGATATAAATCACAAAAATGTAATGACAGCTCGACTTGCGGGAAGTGTTTCCAGCTGCGCGTCATGTAGCTGGAGTTAACCGATGCATGAAACTATACATTTGTAGACATAAGTTGTAAAGGCCGCCGTTTTCTTTGTGAGTATTTATTACATGGCGTGCTGCGGGGAAAAGCCTGTTCTAACGTTTGAGTCTAAGGTTTATTTTTTAGCACCTGACGGCTCTTTTTTAATTCTCATCCGTAAATAATCTGCTCTTTCACGTGATTCGGTTTATTTTGAAAAGTCACAACAGGATCTTGAGCTTTATTGTGAAAGGTTTATGTGGAACATAAACAAGCGGACACCGTCGTTGTTGCTAACCGCAACGCATAAAAACAGGCGCTTGTCCGTCCGTAGTGTGGTTATATAAAATATAAGAGAAAGAGAGAACTTAGAAATTAGTATAGCCACTACAGTGACCACCAAAACGATGAAAAAAATATTGCCGTAAACAGTTTATTTTGCGACACCACGAAACAAACGATAGCGTAAAATGAAACGATAGACGTTTTTATATCGTCATCCGATATATATCAATATATCGAACAGCCCTAAACACAAACACTGTTTTATCAAGAAATATACTTTCAACATAAATAGCTGAAGGAAAAAAGAATAAACCTTACAGAAAACAATGTTTTATAATACTATAAAATATATATTTAAAAAAATTGAAAATGCTAGATGAGCCTTGTTTTAATCCAGAGGCATCACTGGTATGACTTCAGGCCAAATAACTTAAAAAAAAAAAAAACTCCTTCTCTTTCCAAGTCAACATTAATAATTTTTATAATAACAACTACACTGACAGAAGAGAAGTGCCACTAGAAAAGCTTGAAAGTTGGAGACTGTGGTTAATGATATTTAAATGTTGCCCCTGCTGCCTTATGTCAGCAGTGTGGCTTCAACAAATAAGCAAAGTTAAGATTTACATTTCCAGACTGTGTAACTCAGAGGGAGCGGTATTATTTTTAACGGCACTGAAATGTAAAATTGGTGAAGTCACTTAAAAATGTTGACCAATATCATCTGGAAAAAGCAAAAGTAAAAAAAATTGACCTGGATTATAAAAAATATTTATGTGTGTTATGAAGATTATAAATCTGAGCCCAGCAGTCAATGCTGCCTCTGCTGAACATTTCATTGTTTTAGTGAGAAGAATGGGTGTTTAATATTCAGCCCTTCCTCGGTGTGGTGTAACCCAGCTGCACGTCCTATCGTCGACAAGCTTTCACAGACGCATCCTCTCATAGCAGCTGGCTGAATGAGTAGATGCTCCCCTCCTATTATTTTTATGGAGGTGCTTTTGTGTTTGCGTTCCTCTGGCTGTGCATGCCGAGTGGAGAGCCAGGTACGCAGCCGGAGTGTTTTCTTCCACTCTCAGCGTGAGGAGAGAAGGAGAGGAGAGGAAGAGCAGGGCTGCTGGGCTATGAGGGGATGAGCAAAGGGATATAAATAAATGAATGGAGGGGACAGAATGAAAGAACAGAGAGGGTGGAGGAGGCTAAATTGGACACAAGAAAGCTTTTGAAGCACATTCTGACAGCCTCCCGCTGCGTGTGTGTGTGCTCATGTGTGAATGTGTTCACGCACATTCTTGTGGGAAGCGTTTCTTCCTCTCGCGCTGCAGACACACAACAGCTCCTTCACCATTTCTCCTGCAGTCATATAGGCGCACACATACAGAGCCTCCACCAGCACCCCTTGGGAGCTGGTGAGCTGACAGAGACACCATCTGTCTTTCTAATCAAACAGGAATAGAAGGCTGTAACAGCTCAGCTCTGTGTGTGTGGGGGTGCGAGCACATGCATGCAGACTGCATACCTGTTGTTGTTGTCTAACAATGACGGGCATTTTCTCCGTCCAGATTTGGCGTCACGAGTGTTTTTGTTCGCTGATAATGTTGAGATGATTTTGCAATTCATCAAACAGCTGAACATCATCTTCTTTCTCTTCACACAGCTGCCGTAGACACATGGAAACACCTTGGCTCAGATATCTGAATAGCTACCAGCGCATAATTTGGCAGGTCCAGTCAGGGTGCAGAGACCCCGAGGGGAACCGCTGCGTGTGACACAGTTAATGTCAGGATAATGTGAAACTTTATTGATCCCTGCAGGGAAATTCTTATGGGTTGCCTCCATCAGGGACGCCTGAGCACGGTGTTAGCCGCAGCTCTGCACACTGGAACTGGGATGGATTAATTTGCTCACTCGTTCAAGGACATTCCAGCAGGGCAGATGTTAGCTGGCACACAGCAACTGGATGTTGATGATGGGGCCCTATCAGTTTCTTCTTTACCAGCTGGGTATTAACTACACACTGCAGGCTATGGTTTCATCATCTTAAAGGGAAAATCTAAAAAACAAAGGATTTAACTTGCAAGTCACAGACAAAAAGTCAATGTCTCTGATGCTTAATGATGCATGCAAATAAAAGTCTCAAGAGTTCAGAGTACAGGAAAGAGAAACAAGCATTTGCCCCAGGTTCACAGGAAGTTTGATAGATGCTAAATGGACTGATTTTTATATGTATGTGTAGCCCATTTCCACTCTATTCTCATTCACACATTTACACACATACAGGCACTTTTATTTACACCTAAGTGCTTTCTATCTAACATTTACACTCAGATGAACGCGCCAACGCAGAGTTCGGTATCTCGCCCAACGATATTCCGGCATACAGACTGCACCAGCTGGGGGTCGGACCACCAACCTTCCAATTTGTAGATGACCTGCTCCAATTCCTGGGCTACAACTACAACCACCCCTAGACCAAAACAAAATATCTTGAAAAAAACAATCAAAATACTAAGATTCAGTGCAAACACTGAAAGACGGAGTAATAAAAGCAGACTACCAAGGAAATTGCTTCCTGTTAAAGCAACTGCTGATTTCAGTGTAAACCTTTTAGCTTAAATTATAGCATTTTTTGGAGGCATGAGGACGCGTTTTGGGATGAGAGTGGTGGAGAGCCAAGTTGCAGCAAATGCAAACCACGTCTACAGAGTGTATGGGTGCACTGCACAGACACAGGTCTCTGCTAATTAGCTTTTATATATAAATAATAATAATAATGCTAGAATTGCACTCATTCGTGGCACTCACAGCAGGCTGTACTATTTGCCAAATAATTTTTTTTTAATCCTTAAAAGGCACCAACACCAACAATAATGGTCTCCATTTTCTCCTTGGAGGTTACAGATGATGTGCTACTTAACCTTTAACTGCACAACCACTTTACTTGCTTTTGTTGGAAGACACTGACTTGTCTGCAAACACCTCGCCAACTACTCACTAAGCCGTAGTTAAACTGGATAAAGGGTGACGCAAACCACCTTCAAAGTAAAAGCTGCGCCTTTTAAACACGTTGGCACAAGTTTCACTGCCACGCTGTGGTTAGTTGGCAAGTGTTTGCAAAAAAGATGCAATTTTTTAATGCAACTGCATGCAACCAAAGCAATGACAAGGAGATTTGTGCTGCAGTAACCAGTAACCACACATGATCCGATCAGTCCTCAGTGACTGGAAGTTGCCTGTGGTTGGTATGATTGAAGCCTTAGGCAGCAGTGCTCACTATAGGTTGCATCTAGTTTATGCAACAGTTGTAGCTTAGAGCAGAGATGAGCAAGTTGTTCTTTACTCATTTGCTGTTTTGAAATGCAGAGAAAACCTTCCAAAGTCTTTAAATCCAGAGTAACATAACCACGTTTGGCTTACTGCAGTTCCACGGCAACATCCAAAGTTTGACAGGCACGCCACGTCCAGCTAGAGGAGTTTAGCGAGCTTGTGTCGCCACATTATTCCACATCAAATTTAAGGTGCATGAGAAGAATGGTTCGAGATATAGGGATGTAACTGTGTGTGTAAATGTGTGTGTAAGGTCAGCTAGGATCGTGTCATATTTGGGTGCGTGTGTGTGTATTTTTCATCAAATATTAATGAGGCCCGCCGTCGTCGTGCAGCGAATCGGCTGACCTGCAGGTCATATAAAACATGATGTGACTGTGGCTGGGAACATGACTTTTTAATCTGAAAACATCATCTAAAGGGAGGTGGAGCATCACAGGGATGTAGCATTAAGAAGGACAACCTGATAATGCAACGAGATCGGCTACAGACCGAAATGTAAAAAACACGCTGGGGACATAATTGGAAATATTTTATCACTTCAGCTGCCCTTTTGTCTCTTAAACGTTTAATCAGCTTGTAATAAGGTGACATTTGCTGGCTGCGGAGCACATAAATGTCACCTGCTTAGGCCAGTTCATTTTGTTTGGGTTTGAGGAGCTGAATTAGATTCAGTGCACAAATAAAACTTCCTTTGTTTGCTCTCTCTTTCAGATCATCGTCCTGTGGAACTGTGACAAGCCTCTCCCCGCAAAGCACCGCTGGCCCGCCACCTCAGTGCCCGTCATCGTGATAGAGGGAGAGAATAAGGTGAGCCGCGTGCGCTCGGCCTCTCGGTTACCTCAAAGCCGTGATCCCGATCATTTCTAATTACCTAGCTCGTCTTACACATATATTCTCTGTAAAGCTACTGAATCTTCAGACATGTTATTCGGTCAGTATTCAGTTTCGGGGAGTTAATGAGTTTCGATTTGTGTCGCAATGATTCCATTAGAGGACAGTTTGTGTGGTTTTAATTAAAGCTCAGTAATGAGAATAATATACACTGAAAACAGAAGGCCTGAAAGGCTAATGCATATTGTGTATTGGAATGATAAGGTGGTAATAATGGCTAAGTGCACAGGCAGAGTAGCTCTACTTTGATCGGAACCAAATATCCAATTAGCTAAAGAAAGTGACAAAATCATTGCAGAGTAACAATTGAGCCATAATCTGCAACATAAATGCACTTAGAGCATTTACTTTTCTTCATCGTTTATCCATTTAAAACTTTTTAGGACTGTAAATATAGGCTGTTTATAAAAGATGGAGCCTGAGTCTGTAAATCTGTATTCTTTTTAGCAGCCAACAGAGGGCAACACCTCTGGTTGCAGCTTTAAATCAGATTGGATACAAATGTATGAGGATATGCTCAACCACTCATTTTATATATGATTATTTATGATCTCAGTAAACATTTCCCTGATGAGTTTGGGTTCTTAATCTCTGGTTTTTAGTGATTGTAATTTTTAAAAGTGCTCTTGAGCAATAGTCCTCTAGTCTTTCTTTGAACATTTGCTGCTTTTTCAGTCCAGTCTCTGCACCTGACCATTTTCTTTGTTTGGTAAGCATTAACATTAACCGGTCAAGCATAAACATGGCACTTAGCACAATGGATAAACCAGCGTTGTGTCCACACATGACAGGCAACCTAGCAAAGAGCGTGTCTTAAATTGTATCTTTAGCCACTTTGTTACTTGTAACCTGTCACAATAACACGTTATTTGTCCAGTTTCTTTAGTTATACCATTGAAAAATAACACGCGCCGTTTTGACAGCCATAAATCGTTCCATTTTTGCACCACTGAGGTGATTCCCAAAGAGATATTAGCCAAAAACTTGGCATATCTCTGCACTGCATGCAGGGTGTCCTTAAAAGATTTGAGGAAAGTGCACAAATGGAGAACAAAAGAAGAAGAAACTATAAAAGACCTGACGCAGGACCCAAGAGATGCATCTGGCCCTTCATTCGATCCAGCTACAGTTCATTGAAGCCTCATGAGAAATGTATGGAAGCCCGTTTCTGCCACACAAAAAAAG